CACCGCTTAACTCGTCGAGACTAAGGAACCACCGCTTAACTCGCCGAGACTAAAGGAACCATTGCTGAACTCGATGAGACTAAAGGAACCACCGCTAAACTCGTTGAGACTAAAGGAACCACCGCTAAACTCGATAAGACTAAAGGAACCACCGCTAAACTCGCCAAGACTAAAGGAACCAATGCTGTACTCGATAACACTAAAGGAACCACCGCTAAACCCTCAAGACTAAACTATTTAAGACTGAAGGAACTTTGAGACTTTGAGTGCCATCAAGAATGTAATTCTGTTGTTCACTGTTTGTTTTCACAGAGCCATCCAGCGAGGGAGGAGTGTATAACATTCTTGCTGACCCACCGGGGCCGGAGGAGGAGGAGGAGGACGAAGATGAGGACGAAGATGAGGAGCAACGAGCCAGGAGGGAGGTGTTTGAGTTTGAGCTGTCTGACCGGCCACTGCTCCCCTGCTACAACATCCAGGTGTCACTGTCCCAGGGGTGAGTTAAAGATATTCACTAAAGGCTACAAATCTTTACAATTAAGGGATCAAAGACTAAAGAGTCTATGATTACAGAAGCTATTTGGGCTAAAGGGACTTGGATTAAATGTATCAGGACAAATGAAACCACCCTTTAAGGAACTAGGTGTAAACAAATTTGCATCCATAGAATTCGGAACTAAAATAACTTAGACTGAAGGAACCGGTAAAGAACCGGTGAGTCTTGGGGTAAACATATTGGGGCTAAATTAAAATAGAGCTCAGAGACTGAATGAAGACCAACGGAAAGAAGGAACAAAGACCACATCTGCACACTTTGTCTTTCCTTATTCGCACTCTCTCTTTTTCCTCCTTCACACTCACACATTCTTTCTCAGTGTTGTTCTAACACATCTCTCTCTCTTTCACACTCTCTCTCTCACACACACACAGTCCAATTAAGGTGGTGGAAAGCCAGCCTAGAAAGAAAAGAAAGGGATAGCGGAGGAGGGAGAGAGAGCGAACGGAGGGTAGTGTGAGCGGAAGAGAAAAAAGATCCTCGGAGGAGGAGATGGAGAGAGAGAGAGATAAAGGCAGGACAGACGGAGAGGTCGTTAACGAGGATTGCATCGCTGTGGCGACGCGGCTAATTGGCTTCCACTTCGTCTTCCTCCCCTGTCGCTTCTCTCCTCCTCTCTCTTTCTCCTCCTCTCTGTTTCTCTTCGTCTCTCTCATTTTTTTCCCTCTTGTGTCTGATGTAGTATTAATGGCTCCTCCCGGGTACAAGGCCACCGGGTACCGACACACACACATTTCATCGGGTTGTTTAACATTCCAGCAGCGTGCGGTTTTAAAGCAACATGTGGCCTCGTCCGCCGCCGTGTGCGTCCTCTGCCCTTCACATCGACCGACATTGGGAATCAATAACGTCTCCGTTGACGTCTTCGGCTGCAACGGCAGAATTTATAAAAGAGAAACTGTCTGCGTTTCCTCCTTCTTCCCTCTCTGACATTTAACGGATTAATTCAATGTTTAATTTGTAATTAAACACAACAGAACTAATTTCCTCTTCCGCCTCGTGCTCAGAGAGGATTGATATCAGTTTTGTATGAAATTGAAACACTCATCCGCCACTGACTCCAGAAAAAGGTTAAAATTCCTGTGAACTGGAATAATCTAGAAACAACTGGGAATTATCTGCATGTGCGAGAAACACAGGCCCAATCGACCAGATGATGGCGCTGTAATAACGGCCACACCGCTGTCTGATCGGACGCAGTCCTTTAAACAGATTGAGCCGTTAGAAATGTTTGTGTGACGTTTGTTGACATTCTTTAATATTCCCTCAGAGACGAACCAACTTACTCTTTTTACTTTTTCTCTCCTCGCTCTGTCCTTCAGTCCCAGGAACTGGCTCCTCCTCTCCGACGTCCTGGGTCGACTTCGGATGACTTCTCGGTCTTTCCGGCGCCTCTTCCCGCAGCTGAACGTGCAGTCGATGCCTGAAGATGAGTTCTACCGGCAGGCGTCCCTGTCGCAGCTCTTGACGGGTCCCGATGAGCAGGAGCTGGCCTCCTTCAGACCAGATGTCAAGGACCCCCTGGAGCTGGTGGAAGCCACCCCCGAGCTGGCCGGCATGCTCGGCTCTTCCCTGGAGTTTGTGGACACTCGTTGGGACTCGCTGGAAGCTTCGCCACCTCCAACACCACCACCACAAAGACTGTCGCTAAGACTGCCACAACGTATTCCACCATTATTACCACCACAGCAACAGGGGGCGACAGACCCTGGTGCTAAAGTGGACAATGCCTTACAAAGCAGGAGTGCAGAGTCTGGACAATTCCAAGGACTTAAGAATCTGGGATATTCTACACTGGCAGCTAAAATGGAAACCAAACTGGATGCTAGCATGTGGGAACCACAACAGCTAGAAGGTAAAAACGCTGTTGTTCCTATTCCTGCAAAACCAAACATGACAACGGTTGCTAACACGTGGGAACCACAAAGACAACAAAGGAAGAACACTTGGATGTCTAATACTGCTAATACGGATGCTAAAATGGACTCTCTCATTTGGGAACAGCAGCAACAAGGACATAAATCCACCAGGAACACTCCTGCAAAGTCCGACGTGGCAGCGAGCATTTGGGAACCACAGCGACTGCGAAGTAGGAGCACTGCTAATCCTGCTAATGGCACAGTGGGTGCTAACGCGTGGGAACGGCAGGGAGTAAAGAGAGCGGGTGGCAGCAGCACACCACCCGACACAGAGGCCAGTTCCTGCGACAGCACAGGACACGGAGCTAAGACCATCAAGATGGACGCCGCCTGGCAAAGGAACTTCAACGTCAGAGTCCACATCCGGGATCTTGGAATGAAAGTGGCGGGAACCATCCGGGGGGACGTAAAGAAAGAGCGTGGGAAGGGCGCCGGGAAGGTCGCCAAGGTCAAAACGAGGTCGTGACAACATAAAGTAACAGATTGAAAAACCAAGGAACGTAAATAAATGAGTAAACAGAACGTCGTCTGTAGAGACGCTAACAGTATCGTGTGCGCTCTATGTTTACTGTAAATATCTGTATTTACGGATATTCTCTGTTGGTGAAGTTGTTCTTTGTAAATGTTCTGGTGTAAATACGACGCAGTTTCTGTTCACGTGGAGGTTGTTTGTTATCTTTGTCTGTAATTTTGTATTCAGCATCCTGTTGGCTTTCGTCACCAAAATATTTATTGTCCAATAAATATAAAGAATGTAAAGAAATACGTCTGATTCAAGTTCAATGCTCAGATCAGTAAGCAAGTAGCTTAGCATTATTCAGGGTTATTGCTAATACCAGGTAGGATTACAGATGTCTCCTTATAGTGGTCAGCAGTGTTTTTATCTTACAACTGTTGGCATTACAAGGCTGCAGTTCCTCTGACGTCCACCAGAGGCTCCAGCAGTGAGTCTCCATAAGGATCCATATTAAACTGCAGACAGTCTTTGGTCTCTGTACCTTTAAGTGAGGATGATGCAGCATTAGGGGCGTGGCCTCTTTGTCTCCGGTCGCTAACTGGAGCTAAGCTAACTGGAGCTGTCCGCTGGCTGTGTCTAAACAGGAAGTCAGTCGCACAAATAAAAGCGTGGTGTGGTCCTTTAAGCTGTCTGCAGAGGATTCTGGGATACGTGTGATTCAGGGTGTGTGTGTGTGTGTGTGTGTGTTCATCATAAATAAACAGTTAATTGGTTATTTGATTATCTGATGATGCTGATTGATCCATTGAACTTATTAGTTAGTTTGTTCTTTAGAAAGCGGCGAGTCTCAGTGATTTTTTTATTATTTATTGTTATTAAAATCATTCAGTCGGCGTGTTTTCGTCTCCCCGAATGAACCCGATAAACTGTGTGTGTCGACACCACTGACGTCAGTTTGCTTTAAGATCCTCAGATTGTTCCCAAATTTAATGATAATTTAATTATTAATAAAATAACTAACATATTTTTATATATAGCAACCTAGCTCCGCTAATGTCACACTTTGTGCTAAGCTATGCTAACCACACTACACACACGCACACATTATACACACACACAGTTACACACTGTTTTTCCATAAAGTGTGTGTATAATGAGTGTGTAACTGTGTGTGTGTTTAGCGAGCGAGACAAGCAGTGCTGCTGATGAATATTTAAACAGCGAGCGCGAGCAGCCTTCAGTTATTGATGTTGGTGGAGGGAGAGATGATTAGCCCGTCTGTGTACACGGCGTCTGTGCGAGGGGACGGGCTGATTCGTGATCAATCAACCCTTCATAAGCCCCCCCCCC